GTAAAAATTTATATTTTTGTCCAAGAATGGTCCGGGACATTTAAAGTGACGGACACAGACACGGACAGTCCCGGACCAGACAGTCCGTGTCCATGTCCGCGTCCACTGACAACACTGGTCACTATATACAGGATCATGTAACTTTCTGGTTGCTATGGCATCTTGAATCCAAGTAAGCAATTCTCTTGATTCTTTTCCATGGAAAGGAATTGTTGAGGCTCAGGATCAACCTTCTTTTCTCCCTTATTCTTAACATATCCTGTACAATACCAATAATAACTGGGTTTGTACCATTCAGGAGGGTCTGATTCATTAGGTTCACAATGGATAATATGAAGAGTAGTAACTTCAGTGGGTCTCATACTCAACATCATAATCACATTGGCAAGATCCCACATAGTTGGAATTTTAGTAGTATCAATATTTTGAATTCTTCTAAGTCCCACCTCTAAGGAGAAGTGTTTAGGAGTATTAGGAGTTTTAAATGGATTGGTTAATCGCTGTACAAGTTGCTTCTTCTGAATTTCGTTAGATGCTTGAGTAAGATCTGAAAATTTAGCATATTTATCAATTACTTTAGAATCAACTCCAGCTTCTTTCAATTCCTTACGAAATAATGTAAGACATGAGCTGGATGTGACAATTTCTTCATCACTATCATTTTTTGTCTTGATTAAATCTAAAGCATGTAACCAAATATCATATGGATCTCCAGATTTCACACAGTATTGAGCTCTCTCTTTGATAGTAAGTTTTTCATTCCTTTTATCTGGTACAAGAGCCTTGATCTGGTCTTCTTTGAATAGGTGTTGGCGAAGAGCTTCTTTTACACTTTTGCGGGCTTTCCAATCTGGAAGCGTAGCACCAAGTTCACTAGCATAGTCACATAATTGAGATGGGTTGGATTCGGCGGACAAGTTATATTTTTTTAGGAACAGGTCCAAAATCAAGGTAAAGTTATTAGTTCTGGGGTTTCTGGTTTTTCGGGTAGTTGCCATGGCCATATTAATAATACATTTGACAAGTAGATCGTGATTATCTATTGACCTACTTATTCTTTCAAATTGAAATTAATTACCCAATCCTTCATTTATAGATCTCAGGAGATATGACTGCCTTATCCATGGATGAAAAAGTAATAAACCTAGACTATAGTTCATACCCAGAACCTGGCAAGTCTGGTATACAATTCTTAAGCACATCAATCTTTGCATGTAATTCATCCTGCTTTTTTCTGTGATAATTCTCTTTACATATGGGCAGATTTGACTCACATCCAATTTTGTCACACTTCAGAAATGTGACAATTTAATGATTTTATTATTGTCACTATAAACACAAAAAGTAAGATTATAAAAACATACTATTATTTTTATTCCTTATATCATATAAATAACTCTAAAAAACATATTATC